GAGATCGCGCCACTGCACTTCAGCCTGGGAGACAGAGCTAGACTCCGTCTCAAAAAAAAAAAAGAATTTTGTAGTTTTATCTCTGACATTTAAGCCTGTGGTCCATTTTGAGTTTGTTTCCATGTATGTTGTGATATAGGAGTCCAACTTCATTAGACTCTCAGTTCTGTTTCATTGATCTATATGTCTGTCCTTATGCCAGCACCACAATGTCTTGAGTACTATAGCTTTGTAGTAAGTTTTGAAATCAGGAAGTGTATTAGCCCGTTTTCATACTGCTATAAAGAACCACCTGAGACTGGGTCATTTATAAAAGAAAGAGGTTTAACTGACTCACAGTTCAGCATGGCTAGGGAGGCCTTGGGAAACTTACAATTCTGGCAGAACACGAAGGGGAAGCAAGGCACCTGCTTCTCAAGGCGGCAGGAAGGAGAAGGAACACAGGAGGCCCTACCACACATTTATAAAACCATCAGATCTTGTGAGAACTCACTCACTATCACGAGAACAGCATGAGGGACCCTGCCCCTATGATTCAGTTACCTCCTCCTGGTCTCTCCCTTGACACATGGGGATTATGGGGATTACAATTCAAGATGAGATCTGGGTGGGGACACACAGCCTAACCATATGAGGAAGTGTGTGCCTTCCAACTTTGTTTTTCTTTTTAAAGACTGTTGGCTCTTCTGGGTTCTTTGCTGTTCCATAAGAATTTTAGGATCAGCTTGTTAATTTGTGAAAAAAGCCAGCTGGGGTCTTACTAGGGATTGCATTGTATCCCCAAAGCATTTGAGGAGAATTGCCATCTTCAGGATTGTGTCATCTGCAGAGATAGACTTGCTTCTTCTTTTCCAGTATGAATGCCTTTTACTTCTTTTTCTTACCTGATTATCCTGTCAAAACAAACAAACAAAAAATGTTAAATAGAAATGTAGAGAGTAGGCATCCTTGTCTTGTTCCTAATCTTAGGGGGAAAGCTAAGGCCCCACCTTTGTCATCACTTTCAGAGGTTCCTGGTGTCACTCATGCTTGAGTGTCCTGGAGTTCCCACATTGTGAATCTGGTTGCTTCTTGGCTTTCCCTACTGTTGGCTCACAGGTTGGCCTTCTTGGGCTGGTAAGGCCCCACTCAGACCTATTCCTACTTTCCATTCCATATTTTCCTACTATTATTTCCTCTCCCTTTTTCTTTGGTCCTGTAGGCACATAGCTTTTTGAAAGTCCTTTTAGTAGAGTTTGGGCTGGGAAAAAAATTATATGCATACATTCAACCCATTATCTTTAACCACAGTCTCTCTTGTTTCATTTGGATTGGGATGGCTTCCTGTGGTTATGATTTGGTGTTAAGAATGGTGTTACTTCTTTTGTTGTTGTTTATTCGGTGACTTTTAAACTTAGCTATGTCCTAAAAGGAAAAGTCTTTCCTTCTCTACTGAATTCTTATAAATGAGATACCATGTTCATGGAAAACACATGCATCCACGTGTGTAAACACACACAAAAACAATTTCAAAAACATTGCTGTATAGTACAGTTCCATGAAAACAGATGGTGTTCAAGATGAGTTACAATTGCCTTTTACCTCTGTGTGTATTCATCTGTGAATCAATTCTAGCCAATTTTAGGATGAAAAATAAAACTAATGCTAATATAGTGAATGTGTAGAGATTTTGAAAACCCCTGATCCTTTATCCCAGTTGTAAACAATGTTCTTTTTAGTGCTTCTGTAATTGCTATTTCTCTTAAAGCCAAGGAGAAAGTAACTTTTCTACCTTCTGTGATTTTCCAGAGTTTCAGATTTTGAAAAGAAAGCAAGTAATCGCTCTGAGATTGAAACCCAGACAGAGGGGAGCACAGAGAAAGAGAACGAGGAAGAGAAAGGCCCAGAGACTGTGAGTCCTAAGATTCCACGGCCACTGTCACACCCACACACACAAGAATAGTCCAGCCACTGAATTCAAATCTCATGATGTGTTATTTGCTTTAGAAATGTAGAAATCATGTTGATGTTGAATATTATCTATCTATTCCTTTTATATTTCCTTGTCCTGGTCTGTGTCAATTGTAGCAAGATGTATTTCTTTTTTTTTTTTTTTTTTTTTTGAGACAGAATCTCACTCTGTCACCAGGCTGGAATGCAGTGGCACGATCTCAGCTCACTGCAACCTCCACCTCTCGGGTCCAAGCAGTTCTCCTGCCTCAGCCTCTCAAGTAGCTGGGATTACAGGCACCTGCCACCATGCCCGGCTAATTTTTGTATTTTTAATAGAGACAGGGTTTCACCATGTTGGTCAGGATGGTCTCGATCTCTTGACCTCGTGATCCTCCCACCTCAGCCTCACAGAGTGCTGGGATTACAGATGTGAGCCACCGCGCCTGACTGTGAGATGTATTTCTATCAGTATTCTACAAAACCATTTCCTATGTCTCTTCTTGACTGATTTCTTCTCCTCAGTCCTTCAATGAAGAAGCCTACTGTATGAAAAAGGAATTTTGTCCACTTTATAACGAGATAATTTGAGGATATGACTCAGAAATGTGAGGGAGAATTGAAAGATTTGGGTTCTATCCCTTTACTGGTTTGAATAAAGTAGTTCGAAAGAGAAAGGTTCAGTGTTGTCTTGTTCAGTATTGTCTGGTAATTGAGAGGTGCCTTTGAGTCTGCAGAGTCTTCAGCTTAGGGAAGTTAATGAAGCCGTGAAGGTTGATGGCCATAGTGGTGCACGTGAAAGGCATTTACATAAAATACTCACTTTAGGTAGTTAATTTATTCAACAAATATGTACGTTGAATGCCTACCATATTCCAGGAGATTGAGACCTTACTGTTGAAAGGAGAGAGAACATTTAGAAAACAGATGAAGAGACCACCAGTGAATAATAGTTCTCTGTTTGACTAAAACTAATTCAGCAGCTAGTAGCAGGGAAGTGTGGTCTTTCAAGGCATCAGAAACTCATTTACAAAAATTATAGAGCTTCCAGGAAAAAGACTGCACAACAAAAATAGTTGAGTAAACTAGAAACATACACTGGGAAGGGAGTATGGGGGCAAGTTGTTAGCTGGATAGATAGGACTATGCTTTGACACCTCTGTGGTCTGTGATCTCTGAACCTGGAATAGGGGGTTTTTTTGGAAACGGAGTCTCGCTCTGTCGCCCAGGCTGGAGTGCCGTGGCGCGATCTCAGCTCACTGCAAGCTCCGCCTTCCAGGTTCACACCATTCTCCTGCCTCAGCCTCCCGAGTAGCTGGGACTACAGGTGACCACCACCATGCCCGGCTAATTTTTTATAGTTTTAGTAGAGACTGGGTTTCACCGTGTTAGCCGGGATGGTCTCAATCTCCTGAACTTGTGATCCACCCGCCTCGGCCTCCCAAAGTGCTGGGATTACAGGCGTGAGCCACCGTGCCTGGCCAGGGTTCATTTTAATAGCGGTAAAGTCATTATCACAGTGCATCCAAATTGATTAGTTCATGCTTTATTAGGAAACAGAAGTTACCCAAAGCTTAGCAAACTAAGTACCAAGTATCCAAAACATTCTTTTCCTACACGATGTTTGGGGTATTGTCAAAGTTGAATCAGTTCACCAACCAGGCTTAATTGGCTGCTAATGGCTCAGACTGTCTTCTCCCAAAGAGGTTTGTTTAATCTCTGATGATAATTGTCTACATATGTTTGGAATTTCCCGTATGGTAGGTTGGAAGCGAAGTGGAAGCATTGAACCTTCAGGTGACATCTCTGTTTAAGGAGCTTCAAGAGGCTCATACAAAACTCAGTGAAGCCGAGCTAATGAAGAAGAGATTTCAAGAAAAGTAAGAATGCGAGAGCAGTTTTATCCTCCTTTGAAATGCACATTTTTACAAAGTATACTAAAGACATAGATTTTTTTACTATATTATAACTAAAAGAAAAACAGACACCTAATTAAAATATGAATTCAGAAAATACTAATGTTCCAGTTAATGTGTGAACATGAAATACTTGTAATATGAGGGGATGGGGACTGGAGAACTTGAATTCTACCTCTTAGGGGTATTTGTTAAATGTAGGAGCCTGTGTGAGATCTCTACAAAGCTGTGAGCTAATTTTCCTGTTTTTGACTTAAGCCGAGGACAGTGACGTGAATAAGCATAAAGAAAGATGAAAAGAGCATAAAGCTCTTGAGTGACATTTATTTATTTGGAAAAAGGTCATTTTCAATTCATCATTTCAATCAGTTAATTATTTCAGGCTAACATGTAGATTGAGAGTTTGGCATTTTCTTGTTTCTCTTGATGTAAGAAGTTACCCAAAACTTAGCAAACCTAAGTTGATGTTGTTCGATTGGATTCATTGGCAAACATGTTTCTAGCCCAATACGGAAGTGTGTGTGTTTTCTTGAGGTTATAATTCCCAACACTGTAGTATTATGGTAACGTGGCAGCTACAATTAAGGACTTTGGACAAACAGACCTAGATTTGACATGTGGGTCTACAACTTATTTGTGTTGGGCAAGGTATTTATTTCACTTCTCTGCGCCTGTCTTGTCATTTGGAAATTGTGTGTTCTAATTTCTTCTATATACATTGTGTTAAATGGTATGTCTAATGCGCTGGGCATTAATGCTTTGTGCGTAACTGTCATTTATTTGTATTATATTGAAATTCTCTTTCTGATCTTTAAGAAGACTTAAGGGAACTTCCTTTTTCCCTTATTGAATCTTTGTCAGAAACTAAAGTCTTTGCAATGGACAGAACCTGTAACTTTTTTTTAATATAAAAGATATCTATGCATCACTACATGAGAAGCACCTTTAGCTAATTACTACTCTGGTCTGTGTTTAATACTAAAGATGTATCTGTATGACTAGTTACAACAATTATTCAAAGAGGACAGTACTGCCTGTGAGCTTAGATCTGTACTTTTTGATGTTTAGGCGTAAGGGTTCAGAAATATGGTCAGGTCTAGTAAAGAAGCAAGGAGGATTATGTATTTTATTTTGCATTCATAAACCCTACAGCCCTAAAATTCTTGTATTGTACATAACCTTGGGATTTGTTTAAAAGCCACTGAGTCAGAAAGGAGCCTTGTTTATCCTCATGAAACCTTGACCTTTCTTAGGTGTCAGGCCCTTGAAAGGAAAAATTCTGCAACTCCATCAGAGTTGAATGAAAAGCAAGAGCTTGTTTATACTAACAAAAAGTTAGAGCTACAAGTGGAAAGCATGCTCTCGGAAATCAAAATGGAACAGGCTAAAACGGAGGATGAAAAGTGAGTATGCCGAGTCAGAAGGGCGGCGACGGGGCAGAGGAGGGAGAATCGCCTTTTTATACGGATTGGAATTCGGATTTGAGAATCAATTTTTAAAAATTTCTTTTTCACTTATCTGAAGGAGTCCTAGGAGACTTCTCAGAGGGGATAAAGCTTAAAAGTATTGTCATAATAAAATGATGCTGATTGTTTGCACTCTGTCTTGATCTTTCAGAAAATATTTTTTTTGAGAGTAAGAAATGCTAGTAGGTGGTGGGATGATAAAGGTAGGCGAGATTTTTCTACTTGAGTGTTCAGAAGGTTGGGAGGCAAAACTATAAGTTTCTATGACATTTTCCCCAGGATTCCATTTTTTTATATCTTTTTTAATAGGTCCAAATTAGCCATGCTACAATTGACACACAACAAGCTTCTTCAAGAACATAATCATGCATTGAAAACGATTGAGGAGCTAACAAGAAAAGAGGTATTCACTGCAAAAAATTACTTCCATAGCCTAGTAATGAACAGAAACTGTTGAAGATTTTGTATATAAAATAGTTGCATGAATCCTTCACTAAGTCTGGTTTCAAAGGTTGTTTTCCAGCGTACCATTATTTCTTGCATCTAGGGTTTATACCTTCTGATGTTCCACTTATGTGTAATGTGCTTTATTGCATACGAAGACAGTGTTAATGTCCTGTGGTCAGGGATTAAGCACTTAGTGTTTCTAAGGGTAGGTTTGCAGGAGAGCTAAGAGCATGGGCTCCTCTGGGTAGGAAGGGCCATCCATTTTGTGGAACTATGCAAGGCCAGCGTGCCTGCTGTCAGTAAATTTGGGACCCTGGAATCATTAGCCAGCAGTTTAAATTCATAATAGTGGGCCAGGTGTGGTAGCTCATGCCTATAATCCCGGCACTTTGGGAGGCCAAGGCTGGGGGATCATTTGAACCCAGGGGTCTGAGACCAGCCTGGGCAACAGGGAGGCCCTATCTCTACAAAAAATAAAGAGTTAACCAAGTGTGGTGTTCGTGCCTGTGGTCCCAGCTCCTTGGGAGGCCGAGGCAGGAGGATCACTTGAGCCTAGGAGGTCAAGTCTGCAGTGAGCTGTGATCACGCAACTGCCCTCCAGCCTTTGGGACAGAGTGAGAACCTGTCTCTAAAAAAAGAAAAAAATTAAATAAATAAATTAGTAATAATGCCAGCATGGTGTGATAGTTTAGAGATCACAGAAGCTTGTGAATTAGAAGGAATCTCTGAATTTTTAGCCTTGTAAATATACTCTTTGTTTTTCATTTATTTTATTTTAGAGAGGGAGTTTTGCCATGTTGCCCAGAATGGTTTTGAACTCCTGAGCTTAGGCAATCCACGTGCCTCAGCCTCCCAAAGTGCTGGAATTACAGGTGTGAGCCATCGTGCCCAGCAGTTTGTCACTTATTTATTTAATAGAGTAGTGTTCCTCTCTTTGACCTAATAATTTTAAATTTAAAACATGTTTCTTTTTTCCACTGACTTCAGGCAGAAAGAGTAACAAGTGGAAAAATAACAGTATCAACAAGTCACAGCCTTATCAAGATTGGAGTTTGTTATGGTATCCCTGATTTTAGTGTTACCTTCTTGTTTCAGGAACTCATTATTTGCAAGCCACAACTTAAATACAACTTTCTGAATAAGTTAGCATTGCTGATTAACAGACTGGTTAGAGCTGATACATTTTTTTTTCCCCCATAGAGACAGATCTTACTATGTTGCCCAGGCTTGTCTCACACTCCTGGGCTCAAAGATCCTCCCACTCCAGCCTCTCAATTCCAGGCATAAGCTACCACACCTGGCCAGAGCTGATAATTAAAAAAATAAACCTTTTTCTAATATTTTACTGAAATAAGCAGAATTATTTCAAAACCATTCCTAGAATCAATGTTTCTTTTTCAGTCAGAAAAAGTGGACAGGGCAGTGCTAAAGGAACTGAGTGAAAAACTGGAACTGGCAGAGAAGGCTCTGGCTTCCAAACAGCTGCAAATGGATGAGATGAAGCAAACTATTGCCAAGCAGGAGGAGGACCTGGAAACCATGACCGTCCTCAGGGCTCAGGTGAGGCACCTTCTGAAACCCCAGCTGAGCGAGGCCAGCCCTGACTATATTCTCGCATGGGAAAGCGATGGTGTATAGAATGTTTATAATTTTCTATTGTTTACTTTTTTCACCTATGAATGTATGAAAACTTTAAAATGGAAACATTTGGAAAGTGTTCAGTGGATCTTATCCGTTCTGCATTTAATAGGTAGTTAGTTGGATTCTTTCCAGTCTGTGGCATTACGATTAATGTTGCTAAGACATTCCTGTGCATGTTGCTCTGTTCACATGTGGATGTTTTATATTTCTGTTGGCTACACACCTAGGAGTGGAGTCATTGGATCATAGGCTCTGCATGTTATTCACTTTTAACATGTAATGCGAAACCATTTCCCAAAGTGACTGGGCCAGTTTTCACTCCCATCGACAGAGTCTTCATGGCTCTACATCTTACCAACACTTCTATTATCAGTCGTTTTCCTTTAACCACTCTGGGGGGTATGTAGTGGTATCTCATTTAATTTGCATTTCCCTGATGACTAATGGGAATGAGTCCTTTTTCAAGTGTTTTTGGCCTTTGAAGTATCCTCTTTTGTGAAGTGCCTGATCAAGCCTGCCTATTTTTTTTTCTTTTTTTTTTTTTCTTTTTTTGGTTCAGTTTTTGAGACACAGTCTTGCTCTATCACCCAGGCTGGAGTGCAGTGGTGTGATCTCGGCTCGCTGCAACCTCTGCCTCCTGGGTTCAGGCGATTCTTCTGCCTCAGCCTCCCATGTAGCTGGGACTACAGGCACGTGCCAACATTCCCGGCTAATTTTTGTATTTTTAATAGAGATGGGGTTTCACCACGTTGGCTAGGCTGGTCTCAAACTCCCGACCTCAGGTGATCCGCCCACTTCCACCTCCCAGAGTGCTGGGATTACAGGCATGAGCCACTGTGCCTGGCCTGGCTTTTTAAAAAAATGTAATGACTTCTGTATATACTGCACATATAAGCCCTTGTCAGTTATTTTTGCCTTTTCGCTCTCCTAAAGGTGTGATTTGAGGAACAAAAGTTCTTAGTTTTAAGGTAGTCCAGTATATCAGCCTTCTCATTTATGATTAGTACTTTTTGTGTCCTGTTTAAGAAACTTTTATTAGTCCAAGGCCAGGAAGATACTCCCTCTGTTGTCTTCTAAAAAATTTGTTGTTTTACCTTTTACATTAAGATGTACAAACCACTTTAAATTGGCTCTTGTGTATAGAAAGTGAGGTAAGGGTAAATATTTATTTTTTTCCTATATGAATATCCAGTTAACTTGGTACCATTTAAGCCATCTTTTCGTAAGTGCTCTGCTGCCCTCTTCATCATAACTTGTGTCAACATGTGCATGAGTCTGTTTCTGGATTGTGTTCTATTTTATTGATCTACTCATATATCTTTGCTCTGGTACTATGCTGTCTTATTATAAAGCATCAAACTTCTTTTTTTTTTTTTTTTTTTTTTTTTTTTTTTTGAGACAAGAGTCTAGCTCTGTCACCAGGCTGGAGTGCAGTGGCGCGATCTCGGCTCACTGCAACCTCCACCTCCCAGCTTCAAGCCATTCTCCTGCCTCAGCCTCCTGAGTACCTGGGACTACAGGTGTGCGCCACCACGCCCAGCTAATTTTTGTATTTTTAGTAGAGATGAGGTTTCACCATGTTGGCCAGGATGGTCTCGAACACTTGACCTCATGATCCACCCACCTCAGCCTCCCAAAGTGCTGGGATTACAAGCGTGAACCACTGTCCCAGCATCAAATTGAATGGCTGGATCATAAGTTAGGTCCATTTTCCAGTTAAATAAATATTACCAAGCTGTCTTCCAAAAATGCCTAACCAAAATTATACTCTCACCAAAAGATAAGTACTCCTATGTCCTCATATTCTTGTATTATTTTAAAAACCTTGGCCAATCTGATGAAGGTAAACATGTTATTTTTTAATATACTAATGTCAGCAGTTTGGTATTCCCTACGTATAGACTCATTATCACCAACTACCCAGAGTAGCTGATGCCTGTGAAATGCAGGCAGTTGACTGGTACTTACAGCTTTAATAGCACCTCAGCCTGCATTCTCAGCTCTTCAGAGCATTTCCTTGCTTGGGTAACTCATGTTATGGGGTTCTTCCACTCTTCTGCGGTCATGTATTTTCGCCCATTTTAGACATAGACATTTGTTTTCTCTTGATGGATACTCTTGCTCATTCATTCAATAACTCCTTTTTTTTTTTTTCTTGAGACGGAGTCTTGCTCAGTCACCCAGGCTGGAGCGCAGTGGTGCAATCTTGGCTCACTGCAAGCTCCGCCTCCTGGGTTCACGCCATCCTCCTGCCTCAGCCTCCCAAGTAGCTGGGACTACAGGTGCCCGCCACCACACCCGGCTAATTTTTTGTCTTTTTTTTAGTAGAGACAGGGTTTCACCATGTTAGCCAGGATGGTCTCAATCTCCTGACTTCGTGATCCACCCGCCTTGGCCTCCCAAAGTGCTGGGATTACAGGCCTGAGCCACTGTGCCCGGCCCAATAACTCCTTTTTTGAGCACTCATAATATGTCAAACACTGTTCTTACTGCCGGGGATATAGGAATGGACAAAACAAAGACTCTATTCTTACTGGCTCAAAGCTAGTAAGTGATAGAAGTGAGACTAAATCGAATTTAAGTCATACTCCGAAACACCCGTGATCCATCACCGACACTGTGAGATGCTGAACCACTCACAATTGACAGGAAATCCCTTAAAATGATCTCTTTATTACACACTTTTAAGTAACTATAGTTTTGATAGAATATTTAGATTTTTATTAATTTTACTTTTAAAATAATAGATAATAATTTATATCTCAGAACCAGCAAATTTGAAAAGCAAATTTTAAACATGGAAAGTTAAAAATTAGTATTAAATTCCAATACCAATGGAACAGTTCACTCAGTTAGCTGACATCATTAAATATTAAAGCACTATTAAGTGTTTTGTTATTTATAATTTTAAAACAATTATTTGATTTTTAAAATGTGTTGTTTTGTTTTGTTTTGAGGCAGGGTCGCACTCCTGTCACCCAGGCTGGAGTGCAGTCGCATGATCGTGCTTTAGTAACTGCAGCCTGAATTTCCTGGGCTCAGGGGATCCTCGTGCCTCAGCCTCCTGAGTAGCTGGAACTACAAGTGCATGCCATCATGCCCAGCTAATTTTTTGTATTTTTAGTAGAGATGAGGTTTTGCCGTGTTGCCCAGGCTGTCAGCAGGAGGCCTCAGTTCCTCACCATGTGGTCCCCTCCAGAGGGATGCTTGGGTGCCCTCATGTCGTGACAGCTAGCTTCCCCCAAAGCAAGTGATCCACCAGAGAGCAAGGAGTGACAGTGTCTTTTGTGACCTAGTCTCAGAAGCCATACACCATCACTTCTGCAGTGTCCTAGAGGTTACACAGGTTGGCCTTATTCACTGTGAGAGGGAAACATACAAGATGATGCATACCCAGAGGCAAGGATCACTGGAGCCATCTTAGGAGGCTGGTGACCACACAGGGGACGTGGATTGAATATGGAAAAGTCCATGGGAAATGGTCTTCTGTCAGGTTCAAATGCTGATTTGGCCGCTTAACAAATTTTCCCAAGATGAAGAGCCATTAAGTTTGTAAAATGAGGATAGCAATTCTATATTCTCAGGATTTTTCTTAAGGTAAAGTAAGATAGTAAATGTAAAGCACCCAACATAGGACCTCACACGTTTGGAATTTAATAAATAGCATCTATTTGTGATGATTATTCTTTTAAATTTAGCTTAAGACCAGCCTTCATAAATACACCTGGCAGAATGAATAAACCATTTACTGTATTAAGTTGATCCTGAATTGTTTATTATCTAAAAGTCCAGATAATTTTGCTGAATTAATGGTACCTACAGTATTTAAACTACCTATATCTGTGCAGTTGCAGGATTTGTGGTGTTTAAAGCACACACACAAACACAACTTGTATCTGCTATTGGAATGTACCTGGAAAGTCATGGTCATTATACTGTTTTCTCACAGGATGATGCATCTGTGATACAGCACTACCGCCTCATGGCATAAACACTATAGAGAATCTGCATTCCTCTAGGTACTAACTTCTGTATCTTTTTTTCCTCTAACAGATGGAAGTTTACTGTTCTGATTTTCATGCTGAAAGAGCAGCGAGAGAGAAGATTCATGAGGAAAAGGAGCAACTGGCATTGCAGCTGGCAGTTTTGCTGAAAGAGAATGATGCTTTCGAAGATGGAGGCAGGTAAGGAAAAGAGAGGAGGACCCAGAGCTCACATCAGCATGGCTGGAGATGGGGTGGCTGTCAAAAGACACTCCTGATTTGAACTATAAGAATAGCTCGGCATCAGTTGAGGCTGCAATGAGCTGTGTTCGCACCACTACACTCCAGCCTGGGTGACAGAGCAAGTCCCCTGTCTGAAAAATAAATAATAATTGCTTCACTTACGCCTCATGTGACCATGTTCCCAACACTTAGTTTTTCTTACAGGAAAGCTTGACAGAGACTTGTGGGAGCTTGATCAAGCGCCCTGCTTTTCGATAAGCAAGGATTTTGATTTTTAAAATGTTGTGTTGTTTTGTTTTGTTTTTTGAGGCAGGGTCTCACTCCTGTCACCCAGGCTGGAGTGCAGTGGCATGATCATGGTTCACTGCAGCCTCAGCTTCCTGGGCTCAGGTGATCCTCGTGCCTCAGCCTCCCGAGTAGCTGGAACTGCAAGTGCATGCCATCATGCACTTGTAACAATAATGTCGAGTGTCCCGGTGAGCTTATCTTGCCATTGTCATGGATGAAATATTCATAGCACTTTAAATTCCTGAATATACTTTTAAAAATACTGCCAAAAATTACTTCTGACTTTTAGAAATTTATTTTGAGAAAGTTATAAAACACAGCAAAATACAGAGAATAAAATAACAGACTCTACTATGTACTCCATCCTGCATTGACAGCTGCTTGTATTTGCTCCAAGTATTTTTTTTATTAAAGGAAAAGGGGAGTTGTAGATAGAGTTGAAGTCTCCTTTGTTCCCCATCCATCATTATATCCCTTTCTTCCTTTACCTTGTGCTGTTAGGAATTTGGTGGATAGCTTCCCCATCTGTTTTATACTTTTACATATCTCTCACACACACCCCTAAATCACATTTCAAAACCAGATAATATTGATTTCTCTGTGTTTAAGTTACAAAATGATCACTATAGGTATTGTTCTCTACATACATAATATTGTGATTTTGAGCTCTCTGTTGATATGTGCAGATGTAATTTATTATACTTCATTGCTGTGAGTATTTTGATTCATAAGTATGCCACTTCTTTCTAATCTGTTTCCTATTGATGACAGTTGGGTTATTTCCTGATTTTTTTAACCGTGATTATTTACTTTCACAACGTAGTCTCCCAGCGCCAATAGTATTTAACACTAGAATTAGTCTGGTTTTTATGAACCTTGGCAGTGTAGTTTGAGTCTTCTTTCCCCTACTTCTGTTGACTGTCTGCTCACCGTTGTCATGTTTCGGGGTTGTAGAACATCACACGTCGTGTTGCTTTTCATCCCGGCAGGCAGTCCTTGATGGAGATGCAGAGTCGTCATGGGGCGAGAACAAGTGACCCCGACCAGCAGGCTTACCTTGTTCAAAGAGGTAAGTCCTGTGTGATCCTGGATTTCCAGGAAATAGCTATCCTATGAAAAAGATGCTTGAAGAAAACTTCCACTTCATTCTCTACAATGGATTCCAAATCAAGGCACCAAAAATACAGCACCCGTCAGTCTCATTTCCACAGCTCTTCTATCTCCCTCCATTACCCACCAAATCCCGACCAGACCCTTCACCCTGCCAGAGGGTGCCTGGCACAGCCACACTTTTTCTTTTTTTTTTTTTTTTTGAGACAGAATCTCGCTCTGTTGTCCAGGCTGGAGTGCAGTGGCGAGATCTCAGCTCACTGCAACCTCTGCTTCCTGGGTTCAAGCGATTCTCCTTCCTCAGCCTCCTGAGTGGCTGGAATTACAGGTGTGCGTTGCCACACCCTGCTAATTTTTGTATTTTTAATAGAAATGGGGTTTCACCGTGTTGACCAGGCTGGTCTCGAACTCCTGACCTCAACTGATCTGCCTGCCTCGGCCTCCCAAAGTACCAGGATTACAGGCGTGAGCCACTGTGCCCGGCCTACAGCCACACTTTTAAACCGTGTCTCCCTCTGTTCTCTTACAGATATTAGCCAGACTGAATCATCCCCTTGAACTTGTCCTAAGAGCCTGTGTTTGCTTGTATTTGTGCCCTTCACATAGACGCCCTTTTCTTATGCATATTCCTGTCTTCCTCCAGTCTCTTTCTGGTGACCTCTTACCCCATCTTTAAAATCCATTTCAAACTCCATCTCCATGAACTGTTTCCATTTTGAACTTCCAAAGTACTTTATTCCTCTATGTTGGTATCGATCTGCTGTTTTACAGGTGTTTTTGTGTTCTAGGTAGATATTTAAGTACTTTATTTTTATTTCTGTTTTTATTTTGAGACAGGGTCCTACTCTCTTGCCCAGGCTGGAGTGCAGTGGCATGGTCGTGGATCACTGCAACCTCCACCTCCCAGGTTCTAGCGATTCTCCTGCCTCAGCCTCCCAAGTAGCTGGGATTACAGGTGCACGCCACCACGCCTGACTAATTTTGGTATTTTCAGTTGAGACAGAGTTTCGCCATGTTGGCCAGGCTGGTCTCGAACTCCTGACCTTAGGTGATCCACCCACCCCAGAGAGGTCTCCCAGAACAGAATGTACCTTCTCAGAAGCAGAGGCAGTGGTTTCATTTATTCAGCAGATACTTTTGAGTCCTTCAGGATGTGCAAGAGGCTCTGCTTATGCTGGGAGTCAGACAGCAGAGGCAGCCCTGGATCCTGACCCCTCTTGTCTGGCAGTGGGGTGATTAGAAAGCTCCCTGCTTTAGAAATCATGCTTTATGATTAATACATATAACTTCAGAAATGCTTCTTAAGGCTGCTGAACACAATCTCAAATATTCATACATGTTACTACATCCAAGTAATGTACTTAGAAGCAAATAAAGGTTGCCTCCAAAAACAAACATTTTGAGGGCCAAACCAAAGTCTGGGCTGAGACCAAAAAACCAAGATGGTTTGCGTTGGTCCAGAAAGATCAGAACAGAGAGATGCCTGGGAACCAGAAATAATTTCCTGCAGTTTGTATGGAACCAGGACCTAGCTAGAGTCAGGACTTATTTCAGACATGCTCTGATTGAGGCTTGAACCTCAGTACTACTCCAAAACTTGGGGAAATGACAGGGTGCGTTGTTCCATCATTCCTCCTTGTTAACTTTACGTAGATAACTCCTGTTCATTCTCAAGGCCCCTCTCAAGTTAATCGGTCTCATCTAGGAGGACTTTCTGCACCAAGATCTAAACTAGGGGCCCTTCCCTTTCTCCCATGGACGCCCTTGCACCTAACACTCACCTGGCTAACACTCGTGCCTAACACCTTGCCGCGCCACTGCTGCCACATCTCCTGCCCGGCTTCTCCACCACGTCTGTCTCCCAGCACATGGCAGTGTCTCTATACATCCCAGAGGACTCAAAAGTGTCTGCTGAACAAATGAGATGATTGCCTCTGCTTCTGGGAAGGTACACTCTGTTCTAGGAGACCTCTCCTGGGCTCTGTGGATTTCTTTCTCCACATTCCCTCCCTCTTTTGCTTATATCCTCATTTATCCCTTTTCTTCTCTCAGATATCCTAGTATTTACTAGAACATGCATTGTCCTGTACCTAGAACTGAAACCGTGTATTTTCACATACCTTGAAACTGGAATACAGTTTAAATCCTAAGAGAATGCACCAATACACCTGTAATCCCGGTACATGGGAGACTGAGATGGGAGGATCAGTTGAGGCCAGGAGTTCAGAACCAGCCTGGGCAACATAGTGAGATCCCATCCCTACAAAAATTTTAAAAACTAGCCTGCTGTGGTGGCATGTGCCTATAGTCCCAGCTATTCAGGAAGCTGAGGCAGGAGGGTCACTGGATCCCAGGAGTTAGAGGTTGCAGTGAGCTATGATTGTGCCACTGCACTCTAGCCTGAGAGTCAGAGTGAGACTCCATCTGTCAAGAAAAAAAAAAAGAAAAGAAAAGAAAAAAAATCCTAAAACAGGCCAGGCACGGTGGCTCACGCCAGTAATCCCAGCACTTTGGGAGGCCGAGGTGGGCGGATCACGAGGTCAGGAGTTCAAGACCAGTCTGGCCAACATGGCAAAACCCCGTCTCTACTAAAAATACAAAAATTAGCTGGGCGTGGTGGCGCACACCTGTAATCCAGGCTACTCAGGAGGCCAAGGCAGGAGGATCACTTGAACCCGGGAGGCGAAGGTTGCAGTGAGCCAAGATCGTGCCACTGCACTCCAGCCTGGATGACAGCGAGACTCTGTCTCGAAGAAAAAAAAAAAAAAACCTAAAATAATAGGGAAGCAGGTATCATTTGGAGAGATTTTTCTCTATATGCATCATGATGACTTCAGTTAAAGACCAAACACCTGGGCTCATGTCCCACTACATATTGAATACAAAGTTGAACTGATGTTAAAACTCACCGTCTGTTCTTCAAGTGAAACAAACAAAACTGCCTGCAAAATGGAACTAATGGAATGATATTTCATGTCCTACTTACTCACAGGAGCTGAGGACAGGGACTGGCAGCAACAGCGGAATATTCCGATTCATTCCTGCCCCAAGTGTGGAGAGGTTCTGCCTGACATAGACACGCTACAGATTCACGTGATGGACTGCATCATTTAGGTGTTGATGTGTCACCTCCCCAAAACTGTTGGTAAACGTCAGATTTTTTCCTCCAAGAGTTGTCCTTCTGTGTTATTTGTTTTTCACTCAAATATTTTACCTCGTTATTATTGTTTTAAAAGAAAGAAAACAGTCTGGGTGCGCTGGCTCATGCCTGTAATCCCAGCACTTTGGGAGACCGAGGTGGGTGGATCACTTGGGGTCAGGAGTTTGAGACCAGCCTGGCCAACATGGTGAAACTCTGTCTCTACCAAAATTACAAAAATTAGTCGAGCGTGGTGGTGCACGCCTGTAGTCCCAGCTACTCGGGAGGTTGAGGCAGGAGAATTGCTTGAACCCGGGAAGTGAAGGTTGCAGTGAGCCGAGACGACACCGCTGCACGCCAGCCTGGGTGACAGAGCGCGACTCCGTCTCAGAAAAAAAAAAAAAAGAAAGAAAGAAAACGTACCTGTTCTACGTAAAACACCTTTGGTGGAGTTCCATCAACTCGCAAAGTAAAATCCTTACCTACCACTCTTCTGATAATAACTTTAATATTTTTTATGTTTGGTTGATGCCAGCAGCTGCACTGCTCATGCAGTTAGCTAGCATGTGACATCATGCGACAAAGTTCATGTAGTTAGACGGAAGAAACCTCACTGATTAATTTTAAGAACCTTTTAGGGATGCAGGAACAATGAAGTGGCCACAGATTTAATCAAGAAAAATGTTTTTGAAGCATTTTTAAAAATGAACTATATTGTTATTTTTCTTCATTTAAAATGGATCTATTGGAGGTTATGTGTATATGTTGTAGTTTTATTGCAGCCACGATAATTGTACCGAAGTTTTCACATAGGCACTGTGAACCTTTACTTAATATCACAACAAGTGAAAAAATATTGGCATCGATGAAATAGATAACATTGACCTCACTGGATCTCTTTACCCATTCACAGTGTAAAGAAGTTACCTTCATTCTTTCATTGTACCTGCAGGCCTATGGGCTTGTACAGTAAATAATTAATTTCTAAAAAGAACAGCTGCCTATTTTCTTCCTAGGTTAGGTTATATCTTCATAATCACAAGAATTAGTGATTGCAAAATAAAATTTTGCTTATGAATCTTTTACATTGTTTATATATGATTAATATCATCATGTGTATATTTTCTGTATTAAACTCATTTGGCTTCCTTTAAGCTGAATACTTAGTCATATATCTTTCATTAGTTCTATGAATATGAGCAAATCCCTTTACTAGAGCCCATTATGTGCTGCTTGAATTAGAAGTCATCCTTGCTGAGAAGGTGAATAGGTAGGGATTTGCCTTGTTTTGTAAGTCTACAATTTGCCAAGAGTGAATAACACTGGACCAGCTGTAAAAGTAAACAGTGTATTTATGCATTGAGACACTAAAGCATTTAAGAGAAAATTAAAAGATCTCTTTTGTTTAAATTTGTCCTAAGAATCTCTCCTAGACAAACGTGACTATACACACACACTTCAATAAGAATCAAAACAGTTCATTATATCTTCATGCCGAGAGAACACATGATACAAATTCAACGGCAATTTCGATTAAACGAGTCCCCTATCACACCTCAGGGAGAATGGGAGAATATTTGTCAAAGACATTTCTAAAGTAACTCTGACATTTTTACTTTTCTTTGTTATGGTTTCTAATGTAAATTTTTTCCCTTATCATCTTATACTGGAGGAAATACATTTCTTTAGTCTCCTAAATAGAGAAGGAAACCAAATGGTTTCACATTTAAAGTTGTTGGACATAATCCTTTTACTTTGTTCAAGTCGAAATATCCAGCCAATCCAGCTCTGAAATAATAACATGAATAGACTTACTAAGCTTGTGACCAAATCGTTTGTTTAATAGTTGGAAGAATTACAAATGAAGGCAATTTCATGTAGTCAGTTTAAATTAAGGCTGTTGTTTCCAGCTTGGTAAATAGCTTATAAACTCTCTGCACATCTTACCTCATTTATTTAGTCTGCTATCCCTTCAAAGTCTCTGTTCCATGTGACCAGTTAACTATACCTCCTCGGAATTTTATGTCTGTGTGTGGTAAAAACACATAGTTGAAGATTGCACTCTTAACAAGTTTATGTCTATCCTGGATAGTATTGTTAACTGTGTGCACATTGTTGTTCAGCAGATCTCTAGAACTTTTTCATCCTGCATGAATGAAACTCTCCACCCATTGAACTGCAGCCCCCGTTCTCCCCTCCCCAGTCCCTGGCAACCACCACTCTCCTTTCTGCTTCTATGAGTTTCACTACTTTACATACCTCCTATAAGTGGAATTACATAGTATTTTTCCTTCTGTAGCTGACTTATTTCATTTAACATAGCTCCCTCATTCAAAGCATAACTTCCTGGATGAAGGTTTCAAGCAAAAGCACCTGGGAAATCAGGCCTTTGCCACTCGTTTTCCCTTTACTACCCCCGCCAGGCCCCTGGTCCCGTGCCTCCACCTGCTGAGCACCGTTCCATTTGCTGACACTTTCGTGTTATCCTGGGAAACATAAGGTAGAAGAGCCATGGGGACTCTGCTTGAGGGTGGTATAAGGTATCTGAAACCAAGCCTCTTCATTAACCCGATCCACATCACAGAGAGGCAACGTGGGTGCCCCTAGCCCAATGGCCGGGCTATTTGCTACACAATAATAGATTTCTTGTAAACCGTCAGCCTTCTGAGTAGCGGGCACCACAGGCTATTTTTTAAAAGAATTTTTTTGTAGAAATGGGGTCTCACAATGCTTCTCAGGCTGGTCTCAAATTTCTAGGCTCAAGCAGTCCTCCCGCCTCAGCCTCCCAAAGTGCTAGGATTATTGGTGTGAGAGGAATCCCTTTCTACCCTTGAAGATAAATCAAGCGATGATGAACTCCCTGAGCTTTATTTGCCTAGGAAAGTCTTTATTTCTCTTTCATTTTTGAAGGACAGTTTGACTGGACATAGTATGTCTTACTTGGCAGTTTGTCTCCTTCTGCACTGAATATATTATCTCCTTCTGGCCATCTGGCAAGGTTTCTGCTATGAAATCCACTGTTTTATGAAGGATCCCTTGTTCGTGACAAGTTGCTTTTTGATTTTGAAATGACTCAGTGTGGATATCTTTGGGTTCATTCTAGTTGGAGCCCTTCGGAATTCTCAAATCTGGATGTCTGTGTTCTTCCCCAGATTTGGGAAATTTTGAGCCATTATTTTTTTAAAGAAGCTTTCTGTCCCTTTTTCTATTTCTTCTTAAATTCCCATAGTGTTTATATTGGTCCACTTACTGGTGTCCCAGAAGTTCCTTAGACTTTTATCATTTTTAAATTATTTTTCCTTTTTGATCCACTGACTGGATCATTTCAGATAACCTGTTTCTGAGTTTACTCTTTCTTCTGCTTTGTCAAATCTGCTGTTGAACCCCTCTAATAAATTTTTCAATTTATTCTTCACTGCCAACATTTCTGTTTGGTTCTTTTTTATACTCTCTCTTTATGGATACTCTCATTTTGTTCATACACCATTTTCCTGAGCTCACTGAACATCTTTTGAATTTTTTTCAGGTTATTCATAGACCACTAGTTCTTGGGATCAGTCTCTAGAGATTTCATTTGCCTCTTTGGGCCATATTTTCACATGTTTCTTCATGTGTCTTGTGATTTTGTGTTGGGATCCATGTATTTGAAAAACAACTGTGTCTTCCAGTCTTTAGGGACTGACTTCATACAGGGAAAGATCTTTACTGATCATCTTGGCTAGAGATTCCGGGATCTCCCCGACCTCTTCCATAGATCCATCCCTCCAGACCTGTGCATGCAAATGTTCAAGTAGATTTGCTGGTCTCTTTTTTCCGAATCTGTAGCCTCTTGTTCCTTCTGGTGTCTGCCTGCAGCACTGCGTATTCCCTGGAGCTGCCACAAGCCATCCAGCACTCCTTATCTTATTCTCAGCAGCCTCCAGGTCTCTCTCTAGAGCATTCCAGGTTCTGTCAAAACTCTTAAGTTGGGCGAGATAGAACCAGTTCCCTGATAAGCCCCTTAAAAGCCAGAACATCTGACACACGCTCCACTAGTCTCGTTCCCTCCACAAGGGTGAGGCTGGCTGAGCCTCTTGATACAGGCTGGCTGAGCTGTATCAACCTCTGTATGCTGCACCATGAGTCCTGGAGCAGTAGTAGGTCAGGTCACCCAGCTCTCTCTCTTTCCCAGTGCCCCCCCGCCCCGGGCATCTACAGTATGCTGTGTTCTATCAGCACTCCAAGACAAAATAGAAACGAGTCCCTCAGACAGCCTCCCAAAAGGGCAGAATGTTGGACACACTTTGCTCTTCTCTTTTCCACTATATAGGAGAGGCCGCCAAGATGTATTGGCCTCTGTTGGACTGCAGATCCTCTACAGCAGCAGCAAGCTGCCACGCTCTCATTCTCAGTAGTCTCCAGGCATCTATGGTTTATCGAGCCTTTCAGTGCTCAGGACAAGAGAAACAGTCCCCTGGGAAACCCCCTGAAAAACTGGAAATTGGATTCAGGCTCCAACTCTCCCTCCCCAGGGAAAGCCAAGAGTCAGGTGTTTTCTCCCACTTGTTTCACACTGAGCTGGGGCAGTGGGGATGGTGACAGAGTACATGCCAGTCCCAGTCTCCTCTTTTGTTCTGAGTCGTCCCTAGACTGGTGCCTTTTTCAGTCAGTTCCTGAATTTAGGCAAGATAGAAACGAATCCCTCAGACAGCCCCCTGAAAAGTCTGCACATTGGGCATAGGC